CAGCCCCCCAACCCCCATGTCCTGGGGGGGAGGGGGCGGGGAGGAAGGAAAAGGTTGTGCCAGGCTGTTCCCACCGGGCCTGCCCCGTGCTGCACTTACGGCAGGTGGCTGTGGCTCTGGGAGCGGGGGTTGGAAGGGCTATGGCTCCCCTCCATGGCCTTGCTCACAGCACCACCACCAGCTGGCCCGATAACAGCCTGGCAGGAACAGCGCACAGCCCATCCCGCCCCACCCCGTGGGCAGATCTGGGGGCACATGCACCCCCATGCCCTCCAGGGCTGCATCTCCCCCCTCCTCATGTCCCTGGACAAGGCACTTGTAGCTCCATCCCCTGCCCACATCAGCTGTGCTCCCTCCCTCACCGCTGCTGGGGGGAGGGGCAGTTTGAGGCCACAGTGGTGAGGGAGTGGGGGCTAGGGCTGGGACCTCAATCTGTCCCCGCCACAGCCCTTTCCCTTCCCCTCCCCACAGACTTACCTGCTTGGGGGGGTTTACATCTCAAGTTCCTTTTAAATTCCAAAAGTGATCTCCAACCTAAAAAGGTTGGAGACCACTGGCACAGAGGGAACCCACTTTACAACGTAACAAATAGGGGGGATATATTCCAAGACCTTGACTGTACTGACTCCCAGATCCATTTCTACCACTTTTACAAGACAATTTTGGTGCTCACCAACAGCAGACCATACATACAAGCACAGGGCACTATCAATGAGGATGGTAACTACAGAAACACATCGCAGACAATAAGCGAGGAGCACAGACCCACACAGGAGACTATACTTTGGTGTGCATCATTCCCACAATGCACCACAAAGCAGCTGACTGTGGGCTTCCACCACACCGATCACTTAAGAGTGAATTTACCTTGCATAGAATACATTTTTGGTAGCACTTAACTTGTTCTTTCAGTATGTAATTTTGTCTTTTTTTTTTAAGCTTTCCTATCAGTCTCCAAAAGTCACCTTCCATGACCTCATTTATAGTTTCTTATTTGTAATAGGAATATAAGTAACTCTGGCTGAAACAACTTAAAGAAACTTAGCATTTACGTTTTTATTTGTTATTAACTTGCTTGCACTGAAATTTTGAATTTTAAGCAGGCTCTAACTATTACTTTAGAGCTGGGACTTACTGCTGATACACTTCATGGTGACCTTAACAAACCCTCTCTTCACTCACCAGTGAAAACCATATTAAGAACATTAGCATTTTACCAACTAACATGGAAAACTTCTTTTAACAGTGCTTTTAAACTAGTTTCCATTTTTTAGAAGTTGTTAGACACCACAATTAGCTGAAATTTATGAGTGTTATTTACCATGGCTAGGAGCTAAAATAATCCTTTGGAAACATTAAAATTCTAAGGGTTTTCATTTTCTTCTTCAAAATATAAACAAAAGAATTAAAGTCTCCTTGCCCCATTGTTTCCCTCCCCCATCCCTACCCCTATGGTTACACCTCCAGGAAAGCTTAAATCATTTAGAAATAGTCTCTTTCCTTGGCCTACAAAAAGACATAAACATTTTCCTTTTTGTAGGGAAAATGTCATTGCCCAGTGCTGATTTCCAGCGTAACACGAGAAAGCAATTTATATTCAATGGATAATATTAACTTATAGCAAAAGCATGTTACCCTGTTGGGTCAATAGCATGTAAGTGCAAAAGATAGAACAAAATAAAAGAAGGACTGTAACCTATGGACTGACGCACAATAGGAATTCATCCCTATAGTACTTAGCAAATAAATAAGGAAATGTGTTTGCTCTTAAAGAAAACTTCACTTTTTAATGACTTGGATATAACAACACCACCTTGGTACACTGTACATATATCGCAAAGCTTATCAACTGAAATGGATGAAAACACCTACAACTATGTCAACGGAAACAAATAAGCAAAAATCTTCCCGATCACCCATCATACTCCTAAATTGGAACCCTATCCCTTTTATTTGGCTTCAACAGAATTGACTGGCTACCTCAGATTTTTTCATGTCAGAAAATACCAAGAGCATCGTCTATTTCAATCTTTTATTTTTGATATTGGACACTAAATATTCCAAACATACCATAACACTATTTGTCCTTCATGCTGTAACTAGCAGCAGCTACGTTGAGTTAAAACTCTTAAGCTTTCTGCCTGGCCTTCTAGCCACATACTCTTGCAATTACATAAAGGAAAAGGCCACTAACTACAGTTTAACCAGGAAAAAAAAATCAAAATTGACCCTGTAGAAAACTGCTCTACTGTTCCATTCACAAAAAACACCCAGATCCACCTACTCATTATCTTAGCTTTAATCAGAAGGTCAATGACCTTTTCCCTGCTCTTGCTAGTGTCTTGGGAGGGAAAGACAGACTGATGTCAGTTCTTCATAATCTGTCCTTAAAAGGACAGATAAATAAGGCCTCATTCATTTATTTCCTTCCCCTCCATCCTGCAGCAGTAGGAGATGGATCACTTGTCTTTGGTGTCCCTCTAAATCTCTGTTCAGCAGATCATCAGCGTCAAGTCTTGTTCACACAACTCCCTAAGCCATCCTTCCATCCATATTTCTCACCAGAGTTCAGCAATATACAACACATGGGCCAGATCCAACCAACAAAGCTATTAGATCTGGCCTGCAGACATGGGGCTTCAGCAGTGAAAAAGGGCACATTGCCTGTGCTGCAGCTGGAAGAAGTTGCTTCATTCTGGCCCACAGGCTGGAAAGGCTGCCAACCACTGCCTTAAGCTAACCTGTGTCTTTGAGGTCACAAAAAAAATATTGTGAAAGTTGGCTAAAATTGCTAATGTTGAAGATTAAGGCCTATGTATACCATTTACTAAGCTACGGTACAGTCAGATGCAAAACATCTATACTTACCTCTGGTATAGTTCTATATCTTTGTACCAGAGCTAAGTTAGCCCTTCTATAGGTTTATGCCAATGTATATGCCCTGACTTGAATACATTAGCACCGCTCTTGCTGCATGCTCCCTTAACATCTTTCAAAAGAGGCCAGCCACAAAGAGAACATTATACTGTAAAATCTCTGCTATCTAGTATTTAACTAACTGAAATACTCCATTAATTGGAGTTTCCAGCAAGCCAGATGGACATGGTTGGGGGGGGGGGGGGGGGGGG